CCCCCCCCCCCCCCCCCCCCCCAGTAAAAATATGACAGTAGCAGAGGACTTTTATTTTGACAAAATCAAAGACATAAACACCATAAATCGACATAGAAAAGGCAGAAATTGATGCATGAAAGGACCCCTGAACCCTGTTTCATGTTGACACGAAACCCGCACCCCTGTCTCAGATAAATAAGCAAGTAAATAAGAAAAAAAAATACTGAAGCACTCTCTCTGTCTTTCTCTATGTCTATAATTGCGGTACTGAGAGACTCAATTCGGATAAATGAATGTTCTACTTCAGAAAGTGTCTAATGCATATGATGAGCTCATATGCTTTTGCTGAAGAGCTTTGAGCATGTGACGATCTTAAAGGATGGTTGTTGAAGAGGAAGATTTTCCATAATGCGGATGTGTGATTATTACAGTCTCTTCATATATAATTAAAGCGCCCATTAAAATCACTTCCTGTTTATAAAAAGTGGAGGAAAAATTTAAATGTACTTCTAATGAGCACATTTTTTTTCCGGCATGTGACTGCTCAGACTAAAGAAAATATGCCTACTTAACACATTAACATTCAAGCCCAAATTTAAGTATTAATTAAAATAATCTAAGCAATATGCAGCATTAAAATAATGGTCTCCAGCTACACTATAACACAATGAAAAAGGTGAGGCCATTGCTTTCTCTCTGTAAAGCAGTAGTGGCCCTTTGTATTTTTATTGTTATCGAAAATGGTCCATTTTGTACAGTATGAGCCGCCTGTCCTAGATGTAAAGAAAAGAATCCCACCTTGTGTAGATAAAATACAGCCAATTTCCTCATTTTATTATTCCACCGGGGCAGAGGACAACATGAAATCCAATATTCTGTCATGTTTAGCACACGAAGCAGAATTTCTCTCTCTCAACCTCAAACATTCAATTTTAACAGTGGCTTCAGATGCATGTAGATAGTGAGCCAGTGTCCCCAGACTATACTAAAATCCAGTTAAAATCAGCACAGACATTGACACATAGATACACACATGAGCTGAAGAACTGCCCCCTTTACATGCATGGACAAAGGGCGTGAATATGCAGATTAAAGCTATTTAGGCTGTGAAATAGCAGCTGATATGCTTAATTCTTCAAAGCTGTCATGAGTAATTTGGCCGTCCACGTCGCCCTGTCCTATTTTCTCTCTAAGTCCAGTTCCAGGTCAGTGGTCACAAGTCCCACCTAATTCGGGTCATTTTCAGATCTGATAATTTTTTCTTGTGTTGTTTGCCGCTTTCATCTCTGCATCTCTGTTTTCCAAAATGTCTAGCACAGGACACAGAAAAGAGCTTTGGCAACGGGACTTACTGCAGTTGTTCTTGCAAGCAGACTCTAAAGATAAATGTGTCCCTAATTTATTTGATTTAGACTGACTTATGCAGTAACTGTAAATCACATACACATATATGATAAAAATAGAGGTGACATTCTGTATGTGTTTGCCACAGTCATTGAACTCCATTTCCATATGCTGAGCTGGAAAATTTAAGCCCTATAGTCTCTCTTCGCTGTGACATTTATGCCTCTGCACAATTAAATCTGAACTGCGCGTTCTGGCTTTAGTGAAAAAGTTGGCATTTGAATGCTGGCATTTAAACTAACATTTTCAATTAGTCTGTAATTGTTGTTTGTGTGAAATTAAACTTTTCAATTCGCTTTTAGTTTAATTGAAAGAGTTTCTGTTCGTGTACTACAGTAGCGAATGTATGTTCAGATTATGTTTACACATGTGCATGTACATGTATATGCATGTGTTTGTGTTTCTATTTTCTGATTAGAGTCTGAGATTACACTAAGCTCGGCATCACAACAAACTGCTTTGATTTGTGGGGTATTATGTCTTATCTAAATAATCATTCTTGTTTTAACCCATTTGATCTCAGACAAACCAGCGGAGATTAATAATAATTAAAGAAACGTCATAGACAAAGACAATTAGATGCTGAGAATGCACTTAGAAGTAGGAAGTTTGTATTCAGTCGCTGTGCTTCCCGAGGATGTGAAGTGACATTTTAATTATATCACTGATGAAGATAAATCAGGTTCTTGTTTACTGTTGTCCTCTGTGGTCTTGCTTTTGTAATAAAACTCTGGTTGCATTAGTTCTTTCAATAATGAGAAGCAGTACTTCTGAATACAAAATATGCTCTCTAAAGAAGATGTTTTTAAAAGGAAGTTCCCGTACGATAATTCACAGACCTTTACTCAACTACCTAAAATAATTACAAACACAAAGCACAGCACAAAACACACTCAACGCACTCCTTAGGGGACGGATACAATACACATTCAGACTGATGCTAATAGCACGCATTTAAGGATGTAATGCATTGTACTTCAGATCAAGACAGTGAGGTTTTTAGATGCTGAAATTGCTTTAGATTAATGCTACTCTTAAGTTAATGGATTATAAAGTCCACACTCACACACACACTGGGAGTGATTTTCAAAAACAGCCCTAGAAACTACACTAAATGCTCAGGTATTCAGAAAGGCAATCACGCTGAAGCAATCACAGGACTGGACTGTGTGGTTCTGAAAACAATCTCAAAACTCTGTACCAGACAAAGCCGAGCTATTTCTCACGAGTCGCACTATTAGACGAGGTTTAAATAGGACTGCCTTATGAACTGAACTACCAAATGATATAATCATGACTGCTGCTGACCAGGCATGATTGGTGAGCCGGTGCAGGAATTAGAGTCAGTGGTAATGAAGGGAGGGAGGAGGCTTGGCCAAGATTTAGCAAGTAAAAGAGCTCTCTCCCTCCCTCTCACACACACAATCACGCACACACACACACACACACACACACACACACACACACACACACACACGCAGACACACACAGACAAACACAAATGAAGGGAAATCACGTTACCAAGCATAAAAATTTCCCACCTGCTGAAGTTGGTTCCTCACCATCTGCTGCTGTGGAGACACAGAGGAGAAAAAGAGAGAGGAGGGGGAAAAAATATATTAGCTTTATCCCAACTATATCACAGTATTCAGTGCTCCAGCAGCACGCAACACTGCTGATTCAACAATATTATTAATTGCACCATGCACTGCCATATGTGCAGTAACATTTCACATGTAATCCAATGGAGCAAACAGTACGTAAAGTCAGACACACCTGCTACCTGTGGGGTACAACATCCTGCCAGCAGAAATACGCCACACTGCCACCACAAAGCGTAGCCTGGCACCGTGTCACAGCCCATCCCCCCCCCCCCCCATTTATACGCCGCCACAATGCAATGTCCTGGTCGGTGGCCTTCGACTAATATGTGTTCATCATTCTGGACCAGTGTAGGATTAGCCCCTGTGGCATACATACTTGTTTACTGCATCCCTAGCTCCTAAGCCTCAGTCCAGCTCCGTGGCTGAGATTTGGCCTGTCTGCCGTCATTACCACAACCCTCCATCTCCATCATCACTTGTAAAATTGCTCCGAAAATGTGCCTGAAAGCTGGGAACGGCTACAGAGGCAAGAGACCAAGGGCATTAGAGGCATGGGATGATGAATAGCGTTTGCTGTTATGGTTGGGGGTGATCAGAAATGAATCACTTTCCTTGGATGGATGGATGGACACATATAAATGTAAAGGGATTGGGGTCCCCTGAAGACCATATTTAATATTCATGCCTGTTATTTCTTAATAGCAAATGATACTGCCTTCCAATGAGCATGCTAGCTTAATTAAAGTGTGATTCAATGTCATGTTCATGTTTTCATCCACAGCGTTGAATACTAATTAGGTATTAGCATATGGAGAGGGTTAAGGCCACATAGATCATGAGGCAGACAGCAAGACAGTTATGGATGCCAGCATTTCATGCAGCTGCAAATGCATCCAAATCCCTCTTAGGAACCTAATCAAGTCTCATTTCCAATCATAACACAGTAACACGCAGAGAGTAGATTTTTCTCCTCTCCAAAAACCAAACATCAGTGCTCCGTCAGTCTGCATCCCCTGTGGTGGCTTTGGATGTGAAAATAAAATCACTTCACAAAGTGCTCTCAGAGGGTTTTAAAAACTTTTATATTGCCAATCTAATTTAATGTGGTACCTTATTTCTGGGGGGTCTGCATTCAGTGTATCTACTAAATGTCGAGCAAGACAAGCTGAGCGGACTGTTTTGACAAACTCAGGACACCCCGGAACAAATGATTTTAACTTAGACAGCAGCCATGAATCTTTCCTCAGCAGCTACTAACTGAAGGGGAAAATAGATTCATTTAGACACCACTGTGAAAAACAGACAGAATTAAAGAGTGAACCGCAGCCTTTAACACTCCTTTAACTGCGATAGAAAGCTCAAATTGAAGTCAGAAGGAGCCAAAGCCAAGCACTTTCCCAACCTCTCATCTGTCTGGCAGTAGATGCTCCCCTTTGTGATTTCCCATGCGCATGGGCCAGTGTAATCCCAAAACCAAGCACATTCCACGCTTCACTTGGTGCGGTTTTCTTTCTGCCGTTTCCTCTCGTCTCTAACCATAGGGGTCAAGACACACACATGCAAGCCCACAGACACGTACTGTATATAGTGTACTCACGCAATTACACACTCACAAAGAAGAAGAAAAACATGCCTCGGAGTGCAGACAACAATTCACGCCCACACATAAATACACATGCTGGGAAGATAGAGACATATTAAAGGGAGTTTCTTTTGTTTATCCATGTGTTGATGTGGTGAATCACAAGAGTGCATAAAATACTGAGTGTTAGTTGTGCAACAAACTGGGCTGGCAAAATGTATGCCTTCAATTGTTGGTGTTCCCTAAGATGAGTCAAAGCACCCCATGCCAGTTGAATCACATGAGTTATTTCCAGTGGAAATGGATAGCGCTATTTATCTATTGTTGTCAGACAAGAGAAAAATGTACTTCCCATTTAATGAAAAGATTAGATGATGAGAAGAGTGTTTGCCTCCATTGCAGGGACAGCACACTTGTGGATTTGCAGTTAGTTACCTGTACTGGCAGATGCATCAGTGGTACACACTGCAGACCAAACCGGCTTTATTGCACATACTGTACATGCATGTGATGTGGAGGAGAGCTCGTCTTGATGAGACATTTTCCGGACAATTTCCTGTCCTCTCTAAGTAGCAAAAGCAAAGATAATGTGACATTGTTATAGCACAACCTCTTAAGGATGAAGTCGGGATGGGTAGTTGGGTCACAGGACTCTGACACTGGTGAGCACGGTTCATACCCCCAAATCGCAACCACAGAGCAGGCATGTCTAGTTACTGGAAGAGCCATGGGTTGTTTTAGATGTAGGTATGCTAAAGGTGTTGCGTGTTTAAGAAGCAAAGCCCAATTTTAAATATCTTATTCTATTTAGTCATGTACATATTTTACCACCATGCCTTTCAGAGTGGATGCAGAGAGGCTGCTCTTCCGTAAATCAATAAAAGACTGCACAGACTGGTTTTGAACAATCACTTGTCTGTCTCACCTTGCTGTTTTAAGCCAAACACACATATTCTGGTGGAAATACTTCTAATATTGTGCTACAAAGAAGAAAAATAAAAAATAAAAAAAAATCAAATATCATACTGCTGGGGTAATACGAAGGCGGCACTGTGCTGGCACTTGTACAGTCAATGATAAAGACAAAGAAAAAAAGCAACACATTTGTTTTTGTTCTTTGCGCACCGAAATGTTTCCTTTCATAAAATGCTGCAAATCTAACATCTTTCTATTTCCCTTCCCATAAAAGTGGTCATCAAAGCAAAACCAGCACATTTCACTCAGCGGCAGGGCCATAAACAGATCTATAATGAATCTTGAAACAATCATGATTTACCACTCGGGTGTGCTTGCTTCGTACTGTATCTCAAAAAATGCTCTGATATAAACACTAACATTAAGCAGTCAGTTTAGTTAATGTGTGTCATCAAAAAGTAGTGAAAACAGAGCCCAATCCACACATTTGATCTGTAAGCATACATAACATCAAACAGTGTGCTTTAATTTACTCCACTCTTAAGCCACACAACAATTCAGCTTACAAATGAGTTTATATAATTAACTGAATGTGTTGCATGTGGATAGTACAGGTATGTAGACATGTTTCCTTGTTTCCTTCTTCTTACAGTAGTCAACACTAGGTGCCAAGTGTAAGGCAATGCAAATAGTCCTAATGTGATTTATGTGCCTCTCCTTGCATCGATTAAATCCCTAAAAAATCACATCTGTTCATCAAAATTACATATTTAGACATATTTCATAAAAAAAAACACTTTATAACTTTAAATGGCTTAAGCAGGATTTATCCTTCTGACATGCACCTCCCCAGAAATGTAACTACACATCGCTGTGACGCAGACCTCCTGTCAAGCTTTTATTTAGCTACTTTAATTTCACAGATAAGAAACATTAAATTGTGAAGACAATAAAGCCTCCACAAAATAGCATTTTAAGTCTCGTGTGGGCTTTATCCTGGCTTCATATGAGTAAAGGAAATCTCCTCTTGTCGCTAGGCTAATTTATACAATGTAAAATGCCACAGGCTTGTGCTAATAACGTTAGCATGTTATTTTTGTTTGGGAAATGTATTAAGTGTAAGACAGTTGTTTCATCGGTGAACCTTGTGAGTTGTAATGGAACTAAATTTTGTAAAGTTACCTTTGTTAAATGTTGCTGTTGTCCCTGGCTTCATGTGAGTAGAGGAAAAGTCCACTAGCCACTACGCTAATTTATACAATTTAATATGCCATAGCCTTGTGCTAAAAAACATTAGCATGCTGTATTTGTGGGGTGTTTTGCAGTGAATGCTGCGAGTTAAAGTGAAGCCGATTTGTGTATTTTTGTTTAGTCTCTAATAGGCCATGTTTAATGTGTGTTTTGAAGGAACTAAACTTTACAGCACTTCACAGAAACCCTGCCACCAACTAGTGTTTTGGAGGTGTAACTGCAGAGTGACACAGACACACCACCGCACAAGTATAAATGCTCACAACGGCGTAGGCCATGTGCGTAGGCTGATGCACAAGCATGGCTCCCGCTTTACATGTAACTCATCAGCTGTCCCTTCTTAAGTATGCGCAGATCTATGAATATGCAAATTAGCTGCACCTCCATCTCCACCCACCTCTCAGGAGATCACCTGCAGCTTGAGCATTCCTGCTCACCTTCGACTCTGCTCACTGTTATTTACAATGTTAGAAATGCAACAGGAACAGATACCAGGAGCTTTGGCTTGACTACATTATGAAACAGCTAATAATGTGTTGCTCATGTTGGATAAATGTTTCCCGAACGCCAGCTCTGACAAGCTGAAGTGTAATTGAAACTTAGCTTGTAAACTGCATTTACTGTCTTCTCTAATACCCTTCGGGATTGATTACTTAAATATGTGATGTGTGAAACCCTGGGTGTCTGAGGCAACAAAGCTGATTTTCATTGGATGGGGTCTTTAAGAGAGATACATGGATACAGCAGATAGAGGCAAACAGACAGACAATTGCAAAAGCGTACACACTGTTCCATTTTGTAAACAAACACTTGACACATGGATGCATCTCGAGACTACACTAACAAATATGTAAAACACGGAGGGTTCTGGAGATGACTTATTTAAATGTTCCCTCCTCCTTCCCAGGAGAAGGTCCTCTCTGTTGCATGATGAGCCGCCATCGTGGCACATATTGGTTTAATCTGACTGACAGCCGGGAGGCAGTAATAACCATCCATAATCTAAATGGGAACCAGCCAGCCTGTCCAGCATGGGGCTGCTGTGACCTCAAGGTGTTCAGTGGAGATAGAGGGGCCGGTGCACAGCGTGAACAAGTACAGAACTCATACAGTACACACACACAGTACAGACACACACATATAAGGAGGAGGATACATATGCATATCAAAAGACACATATTAAGGTGTTCATATATGTGAATGTAATGTGTTCATGTGT